TACTAGTGCCTCTTCACCTTATTCTACTAAAGGCGTCTTAATTTCTTATTCATAATGCACCAGTACAAGTAAATAAACTTTAATTTTTCTCTTTCACGTGTTCTAACTCGATACTAAGCATAGAAAAGCCTTCTGACGACCCCAAATATGATGTTTTTGATAGTTCTGGTAATGCATATGGCCATTGTTTCTGCGCTCTCAATTATCGTTGCAACTATGGCAGAGGAAGCCGGATAAAGTACGTTATTCCAATTCTCCGAAACAATACGGCAAACTTGCTTAAACAGGGTCATAACAATTGCATTTTTCTATAGACTTTATAAATTCATTCAGGGAGACATCAGTTCCTCCTTCCTATTTATTGCCGGCACGACTTGCGACAATTTTTCTCTTTCGTTGGCCCAAATTTATTTTACTTTTTCTCTCACTTTTCAATACGCATTCTTTTTCCCCATGACCATATTGCTCCAATCAGGGGTTTGCGCCAAAGATCGCACCAATTGTAATATGCAACCTCTTTTTATAAAACTTCACATGAGGATGCAAGTTATTTGACCTGAATTGTGCAACTTGGACGTGTTTTCACATGCCTGCAGATGGACGCAGCTCGTCCGGAGGCCTTTGTCATTGTAGCCAAGATCGTTTCCAGCGTTGGACTTGATGCCTTCTCAGACCATTGAGCAAGTATCACAATCAGCATCTTCAGTAACAAAGTTTCTTCTTCCACTCCTGCTATGGTGCATTTACTGATCTTCTTCTTTATTATCACATCTTTTAGTCTGCTCATTTTCACCAACTCCAAAAGTGTACCACTTTGAGCGAATTTAGGGAAGGCTATTCACACTCAATGCTGGTTTCATTTTCTTCCAGTCTCCTGTTAGCCAGTTTTCTTATATTCAGTGTGTTCGTGGCTTCTCGACTCGTAAATTTCCTTGTTTTTTTCCACATTTCGCCACGATAGGCAGAAGGCAAAAGAGAGAATGGATGCAGTTAGTGAAAATACAAATAGAGGCAAGACTCTAGAAGACATATATCCAATGAATAGGAGACTTTAATAAGACAGAATAAGCGAAAACTCTGAGGAGATCAGGGAGCTGCGAGATCAGCAAAAGAAATAAAATCAGTTCAAGAAAGTATTTAAAAGAGGGATAAATTGAATCATAAGGAGAAGGCCTTTAAGGGAACATGAAAATGAAGAGAATACGTTTGCAGAGAATCTATTAGAACCAAGTTAAGAGCTACAAAAAGATGACAGAAAGGAGACTAGGCAATTATAACTCCATTACTCGATTCGAGAGATGCGGCGAGTACTGGAGACATTTGTCACAGAAGTTCCAGGATTTGATAATATAAGTGATCCGTGAAGTAGAGGCTTTAGCACGAAATTGATCCCGATCACAGATCATAACTGAAATAAGAAAAACTACAATCCATGCCTTGTAGTCCGCCTGACGCAGAACATGGAAAATGACGACTTGAGTAGTACAGAAGTTGTGGTAGTGATTGGATGAAATCCCTGAACAGGGTAGACAAAAGACCGATCTTTCAGGGCGTGAGGTATGCTGATGAGACCTGATTGGAGGTGTCTTCAGATTAACTTGTCCATGTTAGATTAAAGTTTGCATCAATTCCACACAAAATGGCACACCTCTGACGTGGTTGATAATAAATAAGTTGGAAGTTGTGATAATGAATTTGTTTTCATGAGGATGTTTGTTAGCTGAAGGCACCAGGATAGGAGGGGAGGCATCGCAGCTTTGCTCAGCAAAAAGT